TACTAAAATATATAATGTACATATGTACATACAAACACATATCTTACTTTGTTGAAATTTTCCATTATACTAAAATAAAATTAAAAATTTTTAACTTTTCAAGGTATTTTTATATTCAAATAAAACTTGAAGGTATCAAATACCTAGGGATACTAATTTTATATTTAAAAAGACCTAAATAATTTTATAAAATACTGAAATTTTTATCCAAGAATCATAGAAAAATTATTAATATAACCAGAAAAAATTATTCAACATATGAAAAGATTCTTATAAGTATGAAGATTTCTAACTGTTAACAAAATATTGGATTCATTACTATATTCCAGAAATATAGAAAAAATAGTGTATTAAAATGAAAAAAGTATCTTCCAGAAAGCGAAACTGAAGATTATGAAAAACACTATCCCATGATCATTTAAAAATAGTATAAGAACCGTATATTCCCTAGTAAGAAATCAATTATTACCAAATTGAAGGTGTTTATTGAAAAATATTTCGGTTGTAATTTAAAGCACTTTGTGTTCGTATAAACAATGAGGGCTTCATTGTTGTTGTCGTAAAAACTTGGACTTATCAATGTTGAGATATATTGAGTTGGGCACATTATGGTTTGTTTTTTTGTTTTCATTCCAAAAACCTTCGACTAATCAATGTTGATGTATTTTAAAAAATGGTATTGAGTTTGATATATCACTAATGGCTACATAACATCTTTCCTATTGAATGCAGCTTTTACTAATGATACAGAAATTGTATTGGATCAGGATCTATATCTTCATACAAACACTTGTTCGCTACATGTTTATTTGACGTGCAAGACTAATTATAATAAATAAAATAAAAATCATTATTGTATACAGTAGTGTTAACTTATCAGAGTATCAAGGCCACAAGACACTTCAAAGGTTGAATACCTTTATTGCATGATATATATAGCATGTATATATCGGGTGTTATTTTCTTGAAATATTTTGGATATCTCATAGAGCTAAAAACATATAGCTTAATCATTTAAATGAGAAATTTTTAAGTTACTTAAAACTGCTAGTAGTCAACAGAATTAGTATTAAAATGTTGTTATTTATATGGTTTTAACTGTAAACTGCAGTTACAACTAGTCAATAATACAACAACGGCTGTTAATAACATTACTTGATAGGGTAGGTTCGGCTGTACCGGCAATTCTAATGATCCACTTAGGCCTATTGGCAATTTTGTTGAGTTACCGAAAAAAGAACTCAGGAATTTAAAAACCACCTTAAACCTTTGACATTACTTAAGACAAAAAAAACTTAATGTCTGTTAATAGTATTTATATCAATATAAATACAGTTCATAACGATGTTGTAAATATCTATTCGCATTTTTATATGAGAATGCAAAGGATTCTAACTTAATTCATTTGGTCAGTCATAGAAGAAAACTAATGATGACTTCATGCAGTTATAAAAATAAATATTTACAAAAAGTTTCTATTTTTAAACATTTTTAATTATCGACGGGAGATTTTATTCAGTGCTAATAAAACATCACAGAAGAAAATCCCATATATTTGGTTTCATTTACAATTTTTTTTGATATTTAATTTATGCATATTAAGCGATTGTTATTCTATAAAAAAATTGCAATCTTGGCATTACACGTTAGTTTATAGAACGAGTATCTATGACATGTGGACTGGAACTATTTGGGTTGTCTGCTCCGTAATAACTACAATTTTATTATAACAAAATTTTAGTATGATTCATTGAATTACATCAGCTTTAATAAAGGGAAAAACAATGTATCTAGTATATAGTTTTTTACGTGCACTTAGGAGATTTGATAAATTTTTATGTAAGCATTTTAATCAAACTGAAATCAAATATCTAGGGTTTTTTGTAGGTAATTGAAAACCCTAATTAAGAAAAGGGAATTATTTTATATATATATATGTAAAATCTATTAAAATGCCTTTAGAATTGTGGTTAAAGTCTTTATACGTAAATGAAATAGAACAAATAATGAATTATTTAATAAAACATTTGTTTATATTTTTAGATACTAACTTATTCAGTGAATTAATATTTATACAATAAAACAAATTGTTATCGGGCCTAATAATCTATGTTGGGAACTTATTATTATTAACTTATTTCATTAATCTTGGCAAATCTAGGGAAACTTTTTTACCCGGAATTTACTTTTAGTACAGTGTTTATTTTCAATTACTAATCTTTGGCAAAATGTATAACACTCGAGATTAATATATAACACTCTAGATATTTTGTCAGATCAAAAAAATTACCCTAAAATTAATAGCTTCTTTATATTATTTAACAACTGAAATGTATTTAGCATGTGGGGATTACCCTAACCATATTCTTTTGGGCACAAAACTTAAGCAAAAAATGACATATCAAGAGCAAATCTAGTTTAGTTAATCTAAAACGATATATGAGTTAAAATCCGAATATTAGTGGAGTTAGAGAAACTACTTATATATCTGATCAATTAAATTGTGTTTTTTTTTGGTGGCAGTAAAAATTAGTTGAAGCAAGTTTATCTTCAAAAAAAATTTAGCATAGCTATATTCAAGTATCCAGATCAGGCTATGGGTACAGCTGTCCTACATATGTCGCGACACAAATTTAATTCTCAAATACATCCATATACTAGAGCACTTCATTCAATCACATTTTAATACATAAGACTTTAGGGCAAGCAAAATGATTTCCAAATGAGTGTATGCTTGAATCTTTAAATGAAAGCAAATTGAGTATTCATTTGCATCTATAAGTGAAAGCAAATTGAGTGTATGATTGAATCTATAAGTGATAACTAATTGTGTCATGTTGTGTCTTTATTCCTTCCTATTATTCCTTGTGTATCATGCTACACAAGCATTTGTAAGTATGCATGTATGTATGTATTTGCAAATTGCAAGCAAAATAGTGGAATTCATATGGAGTAAGTGCGTGCACCTAAAAGTGAGTGTAAGGAGAGTCTAAGATCAACAAGATCTAAGCTATCGCTTGCCAAAAAAATAAACAAAACTAGGTATGATCATATAATGTTCGTTTTCTTTCCTAAGAGAGTAACATTAAGTCTCTTACTGGTTGTTATTTAGTTCTAAGAAAAATTACTTCTACTATTAGTCACATTACTACATTAGTTATATTAAGTAACATGAAAACGCATTAGCAATATCCATAAGAAGTAATATCCATAGTATTGTATTTTATTTCTAAGTATGTAAATATTTGAAATCTTTATACTATAAGAAATGGAGTAAATTGCATGTCCAAATTTTAAAGCGCCAAGTGCTTATTTAATATCTATTAAAAAAACTAAAAACAAAAATAAAAAAAAAAAACATTGTAAAAAATTAAATACAAATTGTTAGTTATTGTTTTTGGTATTTTGTTATAAGTGTTTAGCCAGCGATTGTATTAATTTTTTACTTTTGCTCTTCTTATATTATTTTTTTTTTTTTGGTTTTTGTGGGAGAAATATTGAGTAAAAGTATATTGAGCGTTGTTGTTTTATTCGCTTATTTCATTTTAATATGCCATACTAGTGTGTAATAGCGGGTTAGCGGAATATCTATCTTACGGTACTCAGCGGCACTCAAACTACGATTTACCAATTTCTATGCATACAGAGAAGTAAAATCCTACATTGTATACAAATACATAGGAAAAGCACAAAAGAGAAGAGTAAAAGAAATAAACAAAAAAAACCAAAATTCAGCATTTCGTTAGGCAAAAACAAATTATATTTGAAAAATAGCAATAGCAAAAATTAAAAACAAAAACAAAAACAAAAACAAATGCAAAAGCAAAAACTAAAACAAAATGAAAAAATCGTTTGGAGCAGACTTGCTAGCTTTTTTGCTAACTGCCTAAAATAATCAATAAAATTGTTGAGGTGGGTTAGGAAACTGTTACGCAGCACACAAACATACAAACGTACAAACGTGCTGTGCCGCTTATACGGTGGTGCGTTGCGGAAATTACGCTATTATGTGTGTAACAATGTGCATGCAGCCAGCCACACAATACTATTTGTGTTGGCAAACTTATATTTCATAATTTTAAAATTTAAACAGTTTTGTTATTTTTGTTATTTTTTTGCTTTAATTTTTTTGCTATTTATTTTTATTTAACAGTAAATAATTTGTTAGTTTTTTGTGCAAAAACAAAAAAATAAATAATTTTGTTTGATTTAAAGTGTTAAATACTTTTTCTAATTTTATAAAGTATGGCATATGTGTTGTAAATTTTCTTACAATTTTCCAACAAAATTTAATTGTAATTTTTACAATTTTACAATTTAGAAATTGTATTAGTTATTTTTTGCTTTCAGTAGATTTTTTTTTGATTACTGTCAAAAGCTAACTGACGTACTCCAGGTCGGGTACGTAACAAATTTACTTAATGCATTTCTGTTGTAAAAAAGTTTCCGGCCAATTATTACCTTGCAAATATGTACAAGAGCATTTAAAATGTACATGTGTAAATATTTGTGTATGCATGTGTATACAAACACACATTTACATATACATGCACGTACTGAAAAGCACAAAAGTATGTTTTTGAACCGTAAGCACACTAGCGCTATGTGTTATGCTGACCTAGTTTTGAGCCCCTATGTGGTCATTATAAAGCACAACACTAACAACACTAACAACAACAACAACAATACAAACACGCCAGAATGAAATCATAAACACAAAAAACCAAAATGCAAGGGTTACAAATGTCCTTGCAATGCCAACGAACCTGCTGCATGCATTTTGCACACCGCACGCTGCTCGCTGTTCGCCGCCCGTCTACTTTGGCGCATTACAGCATAGCAGCAAATGCACATATTTAGATTTATGAAAAAAAAAATACAAAAAAAATAAAAAAAACTAAAGTCAGCCACTGCCACAAATTGGGGCAAGTACAAAGATTTTACTCTAAATACGCTTATGTCTTAACATAGAAGAAATTATTAATAAAAAAAGAACTTACAATAACGCTTCATTAAGCTCTTTTTATATGCGGCGCGTTCTTCGGGCTTCAGCTGATTTGTGTCCTCCTCAACCACACCGGAACTGGAGTCATCCGAATCTGTGCCGGAGTAGGTACGATTTCTGTTACGATTGCGTTTGACTACAGCTGTTCTTGTGATGGTGGCGCTCAATGATAAATCCAGGGGCACATCATCGTCTTCCTCTTCCTCATCGGTATGATAACTTTCTGTTGGTGCATCCTCTATGCCATTATCTTCCATATTGCTGCTACTATTGCACTTGTCATGTATTTCGATGCTATCGATATCAAGTTCGTCACTATCTTCCGCACTAATGGAAGTCTGTTCCGCATAATCTTTGCTCGTGATGACAGTATGACGGTTCTGTTGTTGGAGCTGTTGTTGTTGTTGACGTTGTACTTCTTCTTTTGTCTCCAAATGTCGTTTGAGCTGCACTGTGTCATATTTATTTACATTATTTTGCATATTCGTATTATCCACCGCGGGTTTGTGTTGTCGTAGATGATTATAGAGTACAGCAAACTCTTCCCGACAATTTGCCGTCACAGTGGATTTGTTCTTGTAATGCTCCTCAACATCAACATCCTCATCATTGTTGTTGTTATTAATGATATTGTTATTATTATTATTATTGTTGTTGTTGTTGTTGCTTTCACTTGTATGTGAACTTATATTTAGATTTGCGGCTGGCTCAATGTGAGTTAAGGATCCTTTAAAGTCTATGGCACGTGGCAGTTCTTTGCTAGCATTCACTTCATCCATTGTATTATTACTCCAGCTATGGTAGCTGTTGCTGTTGTGCTCGTAGTCTCTTGTCGGATAAGGGGACGACGCATTACTTGCACTTATTGCACAGTTAAGTTTAGTCTGAGTCTGAGTTTGAATCTGAGTCTGCACCTTATCAGCAATTGCACTTACACTGCCATGCATTGCAGTTGCTATGATTGTTGTTGTTGTTGCTGTTGGTGTGATGGTTGGTGTGTTTTGAGTGGGCGGCGGTGGTGTTGGTGTTGTTGCTGGCACTGGTGCTGGAGTAGTGCTTTGCTGTGCTAGTTCGGCTGGTGTTGGTGAAGTACCCGGTGTTGACATTGCGGTCACACTTGCATTCGTTGCGGCCAATGTTGTGGCGGACGCAGATTCTACTGAGCCCGATAAGGCCTGACTGACATACGAATGGGGATTCGGTGTCACCAAATGTTGCACCATAATCATAATAACTGTTTTGGTGTCCTCTTTTGTAAATTAAAATTCTTTAATTGTAACTTTCATGTATTGTTTTTTGGACACTTGCTCAAATGTTAAATTTTTTCAGATTAACAGATTTTCTGTTTCTGTTTATATATTAAATTTTTTTTATTTGCTTATAATTTGATTTTTAATTTTTTAAATATATTTTGAATATGAATATGAATTTCACGTATTTTCAATTTAAAATATTTCATTTTGTACCTGAGCATTAACAATTACATTTTTGAGGTATTTTAATTTTAATTTTAATTTTAATTTTAAATTTAAATTAATTTTGTACATTAAATTTGGACTCTTGGACGTATTTTTTACTTAAAGTTGTAATTTGTATTTGTTGTCGTTTCTGTTTTTTTTTTTGAATTAGATTTAATTGTATTTAATAATTGCAATAAATTATTTATTTAAGATATTGTATTTACAAGTTATTTTTATATATAAAAATGTTTAATTTAAAATGTCATAATTGTTTCTTTTTTGTTTTTTGTAATTTTACGCGCGTCTCGTACTCTATTTTAATTATTTATTTGAACTATAAAATTTTCTTATTTTTTAAATTTAAACTACAAACAGTTATTTTTTGTTTTTTTTTTTAATTTTATAATTAAGACTTATAATTAAAATTTTGCTAATTTGTAAAAAAGCACAAGTATTTCAAAATTTTGTTGTAATTTTGTTGATTCAAGAACTGGATTTGTTATAAACTAATCCAATCCAGACATGATTTGTACGCGTACGAAAACGTCGTTTATCTCTTACGGTATCAGCGAAACTAAAATCTTTGATTTAAGCACTCGAGTCAAGCCAAGTCAAGTCGAGTCGAGTCGCAACGACTTACACAGCAGTCTGTGTCTGTTTTCGGCAAAGTGATGAAGTGACTCGACATACGTTGTTTTCCAAACTAATCTGAAAGTGTAAACCGTACAAATGTTTGCTCCACAAGCACAAGTTGTGTTACGAATACGACGAGACGAGACGAGCGCTGCTACTATTGTGAGCATGGGAAATAACGAAAAAACGCTTTAACCGTATAAGCAGCAGCAGCAGCAAAGCGCACTATAACAAAATCCAGTCACAACTGTTAACAGCTGCGGCAACAACTGAGACAGACGGGTGCTACGCGACGAGTAATTGTTGCGACCACGACCACGAAACCGAAGCAAGTCTAGCGTTCTTCGCTGTTCGCAGCTAGCAGTTCGCTGTTCGCTGTTCGCTGAGTAGACTCCACTCATTTGTCTCAGTAGCTACATATACCGTATGTAGAAAAATCGTAATAATACACAGAAAAATAATGCAAAACGAGAAGCACTACATTTCACTACAGTAGAGTAGCGCTTTTCTATGTAGTCAACGTAGACGTCGTAATCTCTGTTGCTGCAATGTTTGTCAATATACAAGTGCCAGAAGCCGACACGCACACACACATACACATACACACTGAGCCATACCCAGCGGGACTTTCAGCGCTGAGGGAATCGATTCCCTCAGCGCTGAATGGTAATGCCTAGCGCTGATTATTCAAAGGAAACTCCTAATTACTTTAACACGTGCATGTCATTGCGGGCAAGCGCTGAATCGTTCGATTACCTTTTCAAATTTGTAATGCAACATTTCAGCGCTGACATGCTCGCTTACTTTTTCGAATTTGTAATGCAACATATCAGCGCTGACATGTTAGCTTACTTTTTCGAATTTGTAATGCAACATATCAGCGCTGACATGTTCGCTTACCTTTTAAATTTTACCTATGCTATTGATTTTTAAATAAAATACTATAAATTTTTTTTGGATAAATTATATTTTATATTTATGTTTTATAAAATTAAAATATTAATATTTACATAAAAAATATAACATATTTACATATTTATATAAAAGAATATTTTTCTGTGAAATTGTTATTAGAACCTTGAAGAGATTTCCAGACTCGACTCGATCACTTGTTCCGGCTTACCATTTGTCCTTAAAGCAACTGTAAATACAAAAGTATGTTATTGTATACACTAAAGTAAATTATGTACAATATACCATACCATTAGTTATGAGTATACTTTCTCCAAAATTCCATGCAATTTTTTGGGTAATTAGTTGTTTGTCAATAACATAACGCGTCTTATTGATGCAGCCTATAAATAACGTAATAGATGAAAAGAAATGTATGAGTTAATAAAATTGTTACATGTGAAAATATTAATAAGTTGAAATTGAAAGTAAGAAACATATATAATTTAACTTACAACTACTTCAACGGCAGTGATTTCTTCATTAAATTGAATTAAATCCTCCTCAGTTTGAATTGTAAAATTTTCCAATTGAAACAGCTGACTACATTTTACCCCTTGCTTTAGAATGACTGCATTCGCAGCACATTGGTCAATTAATCGTTCTTGACACAGTAGCATCTACATAATACAAAACAAAAATTTCAATTATCATTTTAAATATATTTACTTAATTTTGCATATACTTACAGTGAGTTTATGATAAATTCACAAATTATATATTATTTATATTTTTAGATTTTACATTGATTTTAAAAATTAAAAATTGTTCACTGCACGCACTTCACTAAAATCAAAAGCAGACTAAATGTATACAATGTAGGCAAAACAAGAAATTCTTAATACTCCTTTGCTTTTCTTCTTCATTCTTTTATAATTTCAACCCCGAAATTGCCTATGTCGAACACAAATGGCGAAAACAAAGAAAAATAAAAACGAAGAGCTATTACCTCCTCGCTTACTTTTTCAGCGCTGGCATAATGGTGCCGCTGGGTACGAAAGCATTCTCAGTAGCAACTGAGTGAAGAAACTTGTTTGTGTTTGTGCCACATGCGCATTTGCAATGCAATACTTTATTAATACAAAACACAAAATGCCATATACAAAATAAAAACAAAATGGGGGGCATGGGAATCGGAAAACAAAATAAACAGTAAAATAGCAGTGTACAGCAGCACCAGCAACAGCAGCCGACACTGTACGAAAAGCGGCAATAATGCGACCCAGACCCACTGTTGAATATCTTACGCATTGGCATGAGTTTTTGTTTTTTTTTTTTTTGCTGTGTTTCGCATGCAATTAAACCAACAACTAAGCCAGAAAGCAAGTAAGTTAGCATGTTTCCAATGAGTAGTGGCTGATAGCAGGCAGGCTGGCAGGCAGGCAGGCATTGGCAAAGGGTGTGTGTATGTATGGTCGGAAATGATATTATACCGGCTTTACACTCATGCAAATTTGGTAATAAAATTCCCTTAAGATTTGTTATGTTGTATACGATTTGCTGCAAGTCAAAAAGTCTCGTGGTTTAAATCTCCAATCGTACCAACTTCATTTGATGAACATGTCATAAAAATAATTAATTTAATGCACTTGTTTAAAGTACATTAAACTGTAGACATGGAATGACTAACTACTTAAAGTAAAAATGAACGTAGATAGTCCAACAATTCAGGAAAATAAATCTATAAACTATTTATATGTTTTCTAAAGGTAGATATATATATATAATCTGATATAAAATCAATATATGATCAATATATATATATTCAATGTATGGCCAAACACATGACTTTCTGATAAATTTATCTTAATTTTTAACCTGAGTGCTCTTCAGAACAGATATTATAGTGTAAAGGACAAAACATATATGGTAAGACCTCTCTTAGTCTAGAGGCACTTCTTTGAATATTACCCTAAATTGCATACCGGTATCTTAAATAGATAATACTACCTGTTCAGCAAAAACTTTAGACAGTTAACCTATTGCAGCTACTCAATAATTTCATGCCATTAAACCAGATTTGTCCAGAACCAGGCTTAAGGTTTTAAAAGCCGCTCAATTAAACTCGGAGATATTTTCAACATCACTATTAGTCAGTTATTTGCGTTCATAAATGCGCCCGGTTGGTACTAATATACCCATCCTTCAACCCACAATTACAAAAAATGTGGAGTCAAAACAGCTTTCTTATTAATTGATTTTTAGTTTGAACACTAACCTGTGATAGAAATATTGCTTTCGAGTTAATAGAAATTGTCTACATATTCCAATTTTAGCAAACTGTGGAAAGCTAATTGGATTGAGTCATTTAAGTTAAGTATTTTTCTGATTAGGTAATTTTCTGATATTTCCAAGTAATTTTATGCGACATAAGTAGATGTCATTCATGAAGTCGAGAATCCTTGAGTTGTACTAGGAACAGCCTATTTTACTATTATTATAATTATCATTATATTTAATTCCTTTTATTAAAATTTAAAATCAAAATTACGCAAGCAAATTTTAAGGATTAATTTTCTTTTAATATAATTTCCACAATACATTCCATTTTTGGTACGAAAAAGGGGTAAGAGAGTTGTTTTTTTTGAAAAAAAGGAGTTTTTAAAAGTGTTTTATAAATTTTATGGAATATGTTCGGAAAAGTAGTGATTTGTATTGATATTTACCACAAGAACTAAATTGTTAAAGTCAAATTCATTTAAACGGGTCATTTTTTAAAGTATGGTAATAGAAAAAAATCGTTGTTGCCTAAGTAATAATCAGTAAATGAGAAAATGTAGTAGACATAGTAATCTTATATAAACTACAAAGATATTTAAAATGATCGCTTCTTAATAATAGCTAAGATCAATAGCTAAGAATAAGCTATTTCTTCAGATTTTAACATAAGAAATATTTGCTGAGGAACTAAAACTAAGTATTAATGAAAGTTAGTACAAAATACTGCTCTTGAATATTCTTAAATCAAAATATTGAACCACAAGGACAATATTAGCATACGTTATTAGTAGCTATGACGGAATATAGTATCAGCTGAGAATAATAATTATAGGGAAGCAGAATGATGTCATGTTTACATGACGACGAGCTTTAGTAGTGGAAGTTGATTTAGATCTTGATGTTTGAAACTAATTTAAGCAAATTTCGATAGCTAAAGTTTGTAATGAGAGCATAGTATTAGAATATCGTTCAAAACTTTCTTGAAATGTTACAGTGTTATATACTTATATACTTATAACTATATATACCATGGCGATACTTGATTTAATTTCGTCTTTTACACAATAAATACTAGGAAAATTTTTTTAATGAAACTACAATGATTATTAAGTGTCTTAACCGCTGTTTTAGTCACTTTCTTCTAAGATAAGGTTTTATAGATACAGAAAATTAATTGATTTTTTAATTTTTGCTAGTAATTACCATAACGTATTAAGGTCTTTTACTTCTCCAAACTTCATTTTTACGATTATTGAAGATTTTTAATTTTATTCCAATTAACCAATGTTTATTATTATTTTTATGTTAGACTAACGTTGAACGTTGAAAGCACTATAGCCAGCCTAAAACTTGCACAAATTTTTGTGCTAACTAGTGAATTGGTTCACTATGTAAGCGAGTATGCACGAGTGCTTAGCTGTGCACGTATGGATGTAGGTAGCGTAGCGCTAAATTTTACAAATGAACACTTCTGCAGCTAAATAAAGATGAGGAATGCATGCAAACATCTAAATCGCCATCGTCATCGCCATCGTCAACGCTAACGCTAAGATCGACGCTGTTGCTAAAAAATGTATTTGTGTGTGAATGCAAGAGAGTAGCAAATCTGGCTCTCGCCAAAGTGAATATATCGTAACGTTAATTTTTTTGTTTACATTTGTGTAAGTACGTGATGCAAAAAGGGGCAGACAGCAAGAGCTGCAGCAACAACTTACTCAGTCAACTTGTCTACAACACAGCGCTGCAAATTTTCACTTTCCATTTGAATTAGTTTGCCTTTTCATATGTTTTGTAGGTTTGTTCGTGTGTGTGTATGTGTTTTTCGCAAGTATTTACAAATATATTTACAATTAAAAAATTAAGAAAATATGTTCGTAGGTAACGACAACCACAACGACGACGACGACGACAACGACAACGACGACGATGAGAACAACAATAACAACGGCGTTGATGACGATAAAGAAAAACGAATGTACTCGTACAATAAACTTATCGGAAAAAAAATGAAGGAGACGACAGCGACACGGCAGACTTCCTTTTTGCAGAAGACATACACAAGCAGCGGCAGTAAAGAGCTTTGCCGTAAATAGCTTCCACCATAAAAATTCGCGTACATATCCAGTAAAATGCCAGTTCATGCTAAGATTTTTGTTATATGTATGTTTTTTTTTAATTTTTATTTTTAATATTCATTTTTTATTTTCTTATGCTGCTGTTGGCTGTTGGTTGTTGGTTGGTGTCTTCTGTCTTGCTTTTAATAGTATCAATGGTCTAAAATGTCAGTCAGTCACTATTTACATACTTTGCACTGTTTCTGTTGTTGTTTCTATAGTTGTTGGTGTAGTTGTTGTTGTTCTTTTATTTAACTGCAGATTTTTTCCTCATTTCTTGTTGCATTCATTGCTCGTAGTAATAGTAAGGAGGAAGAATGTTGTGTTGTGTGCTATACTCCTACTTTTTATTTATTTTTTAAGCTTATATATGTATATGCACATATATGTGTGTGCATTTGTTTGCATATTTTTGCTTCTTTCTTATGCACATACTTTTGAAGTGGAAATAAAATCAAGTACAAGTAAAGGAAAACACAACAAACCCTATTTTCCGCTCCTTTTTCTAATTTATATGCAAACATATGTACGAAAGTTAATATGTCTACACAAGTACATATTTATATGTATGCAATTTTCGAAATTTATTTCATTATGTGTATGCGTATGTATTACCGATTCATGTATCAGATGTCGTTGAACACAGACAGACACATCTTGCCCCTTCCATATAAAACAAAATTTAAGGTGGTTTTAGATTTGAGAACAAATTAAGTGAATCATGAACGAGACAACATTCAACAGTGAATGACCTGATACGATCTAACACACGCGCTACTCTAACCATCCAAAAACTCTGTTTTGGCAATTGCAGTTGGGTACTTGTGTTTATATATACAATATAGAACATTAAGTGTCCGACTTTCTTTGTTGTTGGGTTTCACTCATTTTTCATTTTTTATTTTTATTTTTATTTTAATTTTCATTTTGATTTTGATGTTTATTTTGATTTTTATTTTATGTATATAATTCCTTTTGAAATTTGAAATTTTAGTGCTTAATACAGCAAGAATTTAATTCTGTTTATCATAAAAACTCAAATTTTTTAAACGAATGAAGACTTCATATAAACTCAGCGAAGAGTAATTAAGCAGGGATTTGCACCATTTTTTATTTTTTTTTCACATAATATTTACAATTTAGTCGAAAAAATCTCACTT